TTCCCTCACCTTCCTCTCCGCTACGTTTCTTCCGACTGTCTCACACTTCTAGCTCATTACTGCGCATATTGTGTAGCCTTTGCATGACGAGTTTTTTTTTATTTTGCTGTACAATAACGCCTTCTGGTCTGCTAACACATTTTTGACGATTGAATTTTCAACGAGGTTGTATTTAATCTGAAAGTAGGGCACAATAACTGCCAAGTACGTGTTATGAGTCTTTTCTTGTTTCAAAACGCCGCCTTCCTAGTAGATATGAACGCGATTTCTGCAGGTATGTTATCAAGCTTCAAAGGCTTAAATTCACTCCTCGGTGCAGTGAAGCCCACGTCCTAGCTCGTCCCTTGGCAGATACAGTGTTTCCAAGCATGCAGGTTGCTTGTGAATTCCGTATTTGATTAGTAACTGTCTGATATCGTGGTCTATAACGCTGAAATCTTTCGGCTCCAGCTTAAGCACCCGACGTAATAATTTATTAGGCTTTATTGTGCGCTCATTACCGTCTTGATAAAGTTTTTGCCATTTAGTGCAATTCTGGCTAACCACTCAATTCTCAACTGAAGTCTCTGCTCGGACTTTATCGTAGCATTCAAAATAACGAAGCTTAATTGACTTTTATTGTTTAATTCGCACAAAAAGTAGTTGCACTAGTTTTGTCTTTCACTATTCCAAGGTATTTGTAACCTTGAGTTCCTTCCATTAGCGCCACCTTATCAGTACACACACACCTTGGTTTAGTGGCTGACTTTTCTTGATTCACTCACTTCTAACCCTACTAATTCAAAGAACTTTCTTCGAATGTAAATTTCATCATATTGTCATTTGTTGTAAGGATCTTCCACTCATTTAGTAATAGGTATTTTGGTATCTGATTTGAAGCTTACGGCTCAACAGATCCATACATAAGACGAATAGTAGCAAAGAACGACTGTCATCTTGCAGGATTCCCTACTGCATTTTCTTCTCCATTATGGTTTCTTCATTCGAAGGGATTCTTTGGAAACCTACGAACTGCACTGGCATGCTGAGCCTTTCACGCGTTTCATTTCAGTTCCAAACAAAAGACTACATTGCATTCACTTTTTGTCCGAATTAAACAATAAGAGTCAATTAAGCTTGGTTATTTTTTATGGTGACAGATAGCAAGATTACTGATCAAAGACATGTAATCTATGATGGTAGGGATAACTTTTCTTGAAATTATAGTCCTAAAAAAAAGTTCAGGTGAAATATTTCTTTTTTGACATTTTGATCATTTTTACACCGATTTTAAAATCATAAAATACACATTGATGATATTTTTACATATTCATAACTGCTTTAAAAACGAAATCTCTAATTCTATACACTCAGTTTCTTGAAAGATTCTGCTCACTGCTTGCTCTCGATAAAGTTCGAGCTAGTTGCAGTGTTGTGCATTTAAATCTCTGATTGGAGAGAATTGTTACGATACAATGGCAGGTACTATCTTTATGATTAAAATGCTTAATGTTTACATTATTGTCCATTGTATATACTGAGAAATTTTAGAGTACGTAAAAGACTTCAAGTTTTTTATCTTGTTCGTTTTACTTCTTTACCTTCCAAATTCAGTCGCTTTTCATTTGTTTGCTGCACTTTCCACAGAAATTTATTTAATTCATAAGAAGAGTGAATAATAATTTTTTTTTCTTTTTTAGTACCGTAAAAATCATGAAAGACTTACTTTTTTTTTGGTTTCAGTCACAGAATTTTTAGATTCTCCTTTGTATTTTCCATCTTTTTTAATATTATAATAACCAGCTCGATTATTCATTGATGTTTATTTCCAATCATTTAATCTTTTTTTTTTTACATTAATTTTATTGGTTTTGCATTTTCAATTTGTTTCTGTTATTTTACTGTTTTATCACTTTTTACTTCAATTGCTTTCATCTTTAGAATCGCTGCTCGAGCTGTCTAGCAAAAAACTTGCTGTAAGTTTACTTGACAACTTTCCCTGTTTTTAAAAATTTTTTCTTTTATATATAAACGAAATTGCAAATTTACTTATTTGCATAAAACTTTTTACCGCATTGTGCCACCTTTCTTTAGCTATAATAATAAACTGTAGAGTTAAATATTTATTTTCTCGTAACTTTCAATTCAGAAAGGCAAAATTTCTGATGCACTGTCGAGCGATATTGCTAGTGATGTCGTGAAGGAAGCTGTAACGCATGAAGAATTAATTAAGTATATCTTAATTTAGTTTCACAATAAAATCTATTTAATATAAAATTTGTTCTTATATCATTATAGCACGTCAATCACATGAATTTAACTTTTATGTTTCTACGGAAAAAGTACTGCGATTCACTTACTGACAAATGCCATTTTGAAGATCATAGTCTAGCAATGCTTTCATTCACAAACAGATTAATTTCGGTTATATTAATGTTGCAGGCATTACTGGACTACTGTTATTATGCATTTGTCATAAACCATTGCGTGTAATTTTTACATTTTTGACCTTAATGTGAGCAGTGCATTAATTTCCGTTTTACTTTTATAGTAAGAACTAATAAAAAACTTCTAGAAAAATTGAAGGCTTGAAATTTCACATCGAACCGGATCTCATTCATATTGACGGTATAGAGGAAATAACGAATGTGCATGAAATCACCAATGAAAATTCATTTCCAATTATTTTTCGTGTAAATTTTGCTTGAAATTGAACTTTTTATTTATTTTAAAGCAACCTTATAGAAGATAAAGAGTCAAAAAAATTGACATCTTTAATCCAAATTAAACAAACAATTTTTTTCAAATTAATATAAAAGCTTTTATTCTTTATCTCAGGTCAAAGTTACTCACAAGAATATCTTCCGAGTTAATCCTACTAACGGCATTATTGGTGCAAAAAAAACTTTGATGCTGAAAGTAATCATTTATACCAATTATTTAAAGCTCTTCTAATAATTTTTTTAAAATAAACTAAGATTTAGAATTTATCAAAGCTACGCTGAATTTTAATTATTGCTCTAGATAACACGTCTTGGAGTGGCACCACGAAGCGATCGATTTGATGTCGAAGCGTTGCCATATATTGAGGAATTGCTGCATCTCAGGAAGTGCTGAATTTTAGAATTTCAAGAATTCTTGATGTCTAATAATAGCTACTACAGTTCTTTCAGTTTGTATAAATGAATAGTCGTTTCAGATCCACAATACGGGTAGCACTGCAAGACAAGGTTCAGTGGTTCTTCAGTTTTGGTTATATACCTATCGTATGTTCCATCAGGTAATCACTACCATATAAAATTTTTCACAAAATGAAAACGATTATTTTTTATTTTGTTCTGAGTGCAGGCAAAAGTATGCTGAAAAATTAGGTTTCAGATTTTATGAAAAAATTTAATATCAGTTACAATTTGACTAGAAAATATGGAAAGTTAGGAACTTAAATGCCAAAGAACGAAGTTTAGTGGTAGAAAACAAATTCAAACATCTCACTGTGGAAAGTGAATGTTTCTTTTTTGAGTTTTAGAAGACTACAGAAAATAGGGTTAACAAATTGGTATATTCTAAGTCAACTATACGACAAAGAATTTTGAAAAACGCTGTCAAGCATGAAGTAGCCATATTATGATAACCATATTATGACTCCTCTACGCAATTTATTTTGATAGAGAAAGTCATGAAGAGAGGAATTATAGTCCAAAAACGAGATATGATTACAAAAAACAGACATTCAGTTGTAGCTAATGTGACAGCTATACCAGAATAATTTTAAATGCTAGGAAGAGCGGAATGGGAAGAGCAATTGACGAGATTGGAGAGATAATTTTTTTTGATTTTTCGACATAATGATTAAAGAACTTAGAATGATAGCATGCATCGTGTAATCGAAAAGCGAGCAGAAGATATTGTAATACATGAAAATAATCGTAACTCGCCTACAATTGAAACAAAAAGTAATAGCAAAAGCAAGTATGGTCGTAAAATAAACTACGTTATTCAAATTAAGACTTAGTAAACAGAGTATACCAGGGATAGCACATTGGCAAGAAGATAAATCAAAAATTAAATTTTGAATATTCAAAGCAGAACTTTGCGAAAAGTACAGATCTATATTTTTCCCTAGATGCTCTTCTAATCCAAAAGTAATTTTTCAAATTGAAAAATTACTTTTGGAAAAAAAAATTATTTTTATAAAATTGAAGTTTAAAATTAAATAGTGAAATGCCAAGAAAAATATCCAATTAAATTACTTACAAACAACAAATTTGCTTAGGTATAAACAAATAGTTTCATGGGATTCAATGTTTTCCGCACTAGAAGACAATGAAGTTCTCAGAATTTCTTCTCGCCTTTCGAAAATTTGCACGGAAACTGAAATCACATCAAAACCGAAGGTAGTCCATATATTTTATAAAAATTGAGAGTAGGTTGAAAATTTTTTTCTTCTTGGGTATTCAATCTTATAGCGTCAATTAGAGCAATAATAATCTTACTTAATTGACAATTCGATTCCATAGCTCGGTAAATTCAAGTGCATTTTCTTTTTACCAGTTCGAATACTTAATGACAAAAATTTTTTTTCCGCCAAAGATTCAATTATATTTCTCTTTCTTTGAGAGGCATCTGACGTTGAATGAATTTATTATTCTGGATGCAGTTATGACGACAACTTCATTTTAATTGACGACAACTTACATAATGGAGAATGTGAAATTTCAGAGATAAAGTTTCATAGGATGACTGTCAAGATATCATTAAGTTGTTATCTTTCTCCGTTCTCTGTGTCCATGAGAAAGATGGCATTCAATTTTTTTTAAAATCACATTTTATTAAAGCAACATTTTTTTGGCAAACAATGATGGTACATTTGTATTTACAAGAAATAACAGTTAAATATGCAGATAAAAGCATGATGTATATTTTGCTGAGTCAAAAATAAAAACTGTATCATTTGTGTATTTACAGTGGGATAGTCGCAAAGTTATATTACAGCTTTCAACGTATTTCAGATATTCTCATGCAGTCTATTTACGTGCAGATGTTAATTGCTTCTTATTATTATCAGGAACAAACTAATCTGTACAAAGAAGTTTGATTTTTGGATGACATGCGTCAGTTGATTTTATTCAATGTAATTGCACTGCTTCATCTTTTTGGATGTCAGAGATGAAAGTCATCAGCACCACTAAGTGAGTGCTTTGATGCTAAGAGCTTAGCAACAAAAGGCGTAATTTTATAAATGTGGTAACAAGCATTAATTTACTTTCGAAATCCGCACATTCACAGCCATCGTCTTCTTTGTGAGTATTCATAAAACTTTTATTCTCATTTTACACGCATGGTTCCGAGCCACAAATTCAATTATATCTATAAATTTGAGATTATACATGGGAAAATGTGTTACTATTATCTTTGTCGACGTGCAAAGTCTCATGTAAGAATAATACATAACACATAGATCTTTACCAAATAATTTGAAGTTTCTTTGCAGATGAGATTGTGATTGTGTGTGAAGGATATCGCCAGTAAGGTAGAACATAAAAAGTAGTATTAACTTATGCTTCTTTCTAGAACGATATGTGTAGAAAGTGGTCGTAGGACCTATATCTAGTCAAAGTAAAGCTCTAAAAAGATTCTACGCTCTCACTCGAGCTTTTGTCGAGTATTGAATTTGGGAGCGAAGTACAATTCTGCGATTCTGCGTTACTTCAGTCCAATATCTTCAACGACACCTTTATCAAAATCAGTTCAGAGCAATATTGAATTCCATTAATTAATGATTGAAGATGTCCTGCAACATGTTTTTCTGCTATGTCCAACTTAATAATCCTGCACAAAATTTAAGATCAGTAACTTGAATCTGATCTGAAAAATTTGTGATAATATTTTGTTAATAATAACATTTGTTTCTGTCGTTATTCGAATTATTCTATATATTATATAACTTCAAATTATTGGAAAAGCATGCCGCATGTAATGGTCATTGTTACTAGTATTTTTTAATACAATTTGCATAGCATTGCAAATTTAAGAAAATTTTAGAGTTTGAAATTTAATGCACTTACCAGTCAAAAAATTTTTGCACTTTGAATTGACCAGGCTGACAAGTGCGAGAAGTAATCAAATCTCTAAATAACTGAATATATATATGCATTACTAATTATGTGATTATTCAGTACTAACTTTTTTGAATCCATTTTTCGCATTGAATTTTAATGCTTTATTGATAGCATAAGAATTGGAAGGATTACTGCGGGGAGATTCTGAGTTTTAGTTTGTAGCAGATCTGAAATCGGCACAATTTAACACTATCTAAAAGTTATTCGTAATTATTTAAGTCAAGAGCCTTCACATTTCAACTGGTCGAAATACAAAGATGTTGTGCTAATATAGTCTTTGAACATTTAGCAATAACTGTCGCTGAATAGAAAGAATAATATGAGCACTTCAGTTGTACTCAAGAAGTGTTTTGTCGAACATATGTCAATTTTTTTCCAGTGTCTTTATTTCTTTGAATGAGTTAATTTTTGATTAAATCATGTTGTGGGATTGATTTTATTTGATTCGACTTAAGGAATTGAAGTGATTGAATTGTGCATCAAAATTAATATGAACTGATTAAGCTGATATTAAACGAGGATTTTTATTGGATATTATGGACAGAAATAATCCTCATTTCGGACAATAATTCAACTATTTTTTATTCCACGAAAATTCTTTCCCACATTCTAGCTTTTGCCATGTATTTCCACTTTTATTGGTAAAATCAGTTGACATGATGAGCATTACTTCCCACCGTCTCCAACAAATCTATTACAGTCCAGTCCCAGAATATAAATCTGCAAGAAGCGAGTACTTGCTGCTTTACTGCGTTGACTAAATAAGATTAAAACAATGAATATCTTTAAACAATACTAGTCAAAATACTTTATTTTTTGAAATCAAAAGCATTTCTGGTAAGACACGAGTTACTTTCCCTGCACCAATTATTGTTCTTAAATTTGTGGAAAAAAAATTATCGAATACTTCATATTTCTCAACGTGGCCAAGTCAGTACACTTATCTTAACCCATCATTTCATTTCTTTTGATCCTCTGTGAATCGATTAGCAATTATCAATAACCAAGGCATCACTTTCTTCGACAAAAAGTAGGCAGGGGCATAGCTAAGAGTTTTGCTTGTGTAAGCTAAATAATATTTACTTTTTCCCTATTTTTCAGAACTGTTTATTTGCTTACATCAATTTGACACCTAAAATTGTGTACTCAAATTTTATTCTTGCGAGCGATATAAATATTCACTATGAACTAGAGCATTATTCAGTCATGTAAGGGATTTTTCTGAAGCCGGTCGTGCATCAAAAATGGTATCTTATCTATCCCAATATATTGTATGCGATGCACAGCCAAGACTACTTGGGTAATATTATAAATATAAAAAACTTGTCAAAAAAATAGTCTTGCATGAATGCAAACCGTAATTTTTAAATTTCTTAACACATTTCTCTTGTTAAAATACAATTTTTGAAGTTGGAAAATCAATTTAAAGATAGATTACTGTGAGAAAGAATTTTGATTAAAAAAACCAGGAAATCATGAAAGTTAGCACGGAGCTGTTTGGTTGTAAATTTTTCATCTACAGTTTGATCCTTTTCACGCTTCTACGACTTTGTCTCTGATTGAAATGAAGTCGCAGCAACATACGTAATTAAGGAATACAGTACGAAATAAATCATAAATTTTGCAGTAAAGCTCTATTCAAAACTTAGCTAATAAATTGTGTCACACTTATTAATATAATGGACTTGAAGTAAACTTTTGTGAGACGATCATTAAATTCTGCAGTGAAACTGTGAATAGCGTAATTTTTTAAAGTTCGAACTGCTGCGATCATATGGAACTTTGATAGTAATTGTTATAATCACACTGATTCCACTTACCTTCGCTGCACCAATGATTGTTCTTAAATTTGTGGAAAAAAAACATCACCGAATACTTCAATTTTCCTGCAAATATCAACCAGTATATTTTACTAATTCACAGGTTTGCTTACATATTTCAATCTTTGAATATTTCATATCGTTGTCTCTATAACTTACTAAATTATGAACAAATTGTAAAGTTATTTTACAATTATATATTATTACCGCAAATTGCACGCACATAAAATTATTAATTTAAAATAGAATAATTAATTAACACATTCATAGCATTAATTGATTGAACAGAGTTAATGATGCCATCAATAATTGTTATTACAATGAGCATTTTAGGATCGTAATCTTGAAAATATTTCAAATTTTATTAGATTAGGATATATTTCCGATTACATTTCATTTTTTATTTCTTGTTTTCAAAATGAAAGCTCCAGAAGTGAAAATAAGTCTATACTTTTCAGCATTATTTAGAAATCTTTTTCATGGACGAAAACTGTGCACTTCATTTGAATATATTAGTTATTTATATAAGTCCAATATTTTTCATCATAAATGCTAGATTGATTCAATCCATTATAAGAGAATTTGTTATTTTAAGTCTTATGATGCGAAGGCACTTGTCATCAAATGACTTACTCAGAACTGATATAAAAACAGATAAACTTATAGAAACGAGAAGAGGAAGTTGTTATATCAGAAAATCAACGCGAAAAACAGGAACGATTACGCCGTAATCTTGATATCAATAGGGAGAAGATCCGAGCCATTTTATCTGCTTGCAATCGCTCATCCCCACGAGAATTACGTTAGTAATAGATCAATACAAAAAGATCAAAGATGCGTTTTTTTCTAAATTAGATAAAATGAACATGACAAATGTTTTTGTGAAAGCTTTTATTTTGTCTCATGTAGTTTTCATATTTTGACACTTTTAAATTTTTAAAGTAAAGACATTTTTGATTCAGTTTCACTTCTGTGTACGTCTTCCACGCAGCCTTCAAGTCGCCGCTCTCCAAAAAGAAATGAGAAATTTGAAGACCCGATAATGTCAAAAAATAATTATAGTAACGAAACAGAAAGCTTATCTGTACAGTCAGAAGAAAATGAGACCAAAACCGAAAAATTAAGCAAAAGTGGTGGTAGTATCAAAAAAATGATATATGAAGCAAAAAAGTCGGAAGAAGTAAGAGGAATGGAAAAACAGATCAATCTCAAAGCAATAACGGATCTGACGATGTCGCACTCTGATTCATCATCCTTGCAATCGCATTCAGGATCAGAATGAACACAGTGATTAAGAGAAATAAAATTCCTTTTGAGAATCCTATACTAGACTGATGTTTATTGTGCAAAAAATGGCATTTAAAAGAATGTGATAAATGTGAAATTATAAAAGCAATTTGAAATTATATAAGCAGATCGAAAGCCTTAATTAATAGATTGTACTATCGAAGAGTTCAATATTTTGATTATGCAAATAATTATTTGTTACGTTTTTTTGTCAATGAATAAAACGTTCTCTTTGAATTAAATACCAAGTTTTTCGTGTTGATATGATATATTGCATTTTTGGAATGAAATGATTGCTTGTTTTTTGACTAAATTTCAACTGCTACTTTTCATTTCTGTCACGAACAAATTACAAATATATATATATATTAGTCAGTTGAATTGTGATCGTTCATATGCAAATGAATGAAATGAGAAAACGAGAGAAAACGCATTTCAATCACAGAGACGAGCATAAATTTCATGGAGATTTGATTTATCACCAATGGCCTCTCGTCTGAAAAGCACTATTATATTTATAAAAAAGCAGATTAGACTGTTATACAGCTTTCTGGCGATTAACAAGCCACACTTCATTAGCAGTGACTCATTATTGCCATCAACTAGCATTGCTTAGCAGCAGTCAATGTCAGTCGATTAGCAAAACAAATTGCAATCGTTCTAAGGATACGGTAACACTCTAACATACAGTTGGTACCAGTAATTTCAGCTCTTAATGTGTCTTATCGTCAGTGCTGCGGTTATAAAGCTCATAACTGGATATGCTTGATACTAACACTTTACTCCAGCATCTTGCAGCCTAACAGTGCTGATCTCAGTTACTTCATCCTCACCAAATCCAAAGCAGCGATCGAGTAAGATATTTCAAGCATCTTTCTGGGCACTATCAACTGGATATGTGCTTTGTTCTTTAATTTGATTGTAGGCAATTTTTTCCTTGCCTGTGCTGTGAGTTGGTAAATTCAGAAAAATTGTATTTTGACACTATATCAAAAAATTTGCACATTATATGTTGATTTGATTTTGCGTCCCTCCTATTTACGCATTAATTGTTTCAATGAGTTTTGGGTAATAGAAAAAAATTAACTAATGAGTGTGTCGTTTTGCAGCTCAAAACCAGCACATTACCAAAATTAACTTATAAACAAGGAGCCTGTAAATTGAAAACTACTGCACATGATGGTGTTGCTTTTGCATAAATAGGAAGTGATGACTTGTATGCTCGTTTCTCGTTCTAAGATTTGTATTGCAGCGCAATTTATGAGTAGCTCTGATATTTGGTACATTGCAACTTACTCATAAATGTGACCAAACACAATGAAAACTTTTATTGTTGACACAGAAGAGCAGAGAAACTGATAAAAAAGTACAACGAACTCACACGCAGCATACAATAAATGTAAAAGGCACATGATGTAGTACGTGGCAGGCACACTTGCAGTAAACTGCGGGACTAATGCAAAATTTGTGACGGCAGACAGTCTCGGGGAAAGCTTTAGATTGAATGGACTAGTGGAGTTTACCTCTCACTGAGTACTTCATCCACTAGTGCCAAGAATTATCATTTTTCTCAAAAGAATGATCCATTCCAAAATATTCCAACTGTTTCCTTTGAAAGTCTAGCTTAACTCTCACAAACTGACATTGCGACCACGCTGGCCCCAGCCATATATATATATGCCTTTATACAAATTGCCGTTCTTGACATAAATGGAAAGTGATTAGCTTGACTTAAGCACTGCGTAGCATTAAAAATAAGTTTAATGAAAATAATTTGGCTATAAATTAGAGCGCATAAAATAACGTGAATGAAATGTGAGCACAGAACCAGCAAAATGTATGCAAAACAACCTTAAGCGAGCGACGCTTTACAATGAATCGAATGAATGCAAATTCAGCACAGATTTACTTACATAAATAGGCAAAAGTAGATCTGTCACAAAATAATTCGTTTGTTAAGTGTGAGACAGTCGGAAGAAACGTAGCGGAGAGGAAGGTGAGGGAAGGGCAGACCCTTGCAGAATCTTTCTGATTTAACAACTTTTGTGCAAATGCAATGAATATCTGTTCCATTTGCTTTGAATTCAAACAAGCGAACGATATGCAAACCCTGCCATGCACTCACAGGTTTTGCAAGTACTGCCTCTCAAAATGCACTGCTTCCCAACTTTGCCCAGCACCTTGCTGTACTCACGTTCGTCACGTCAATGTTGTCATCGATGAAGCCGATGAAGTTAGTTTATCGAAAAATGACTAAATCAATTAACATTGCAAAATGTTGCGCTGCTGCCGGCAGGGGTCGAACCTGCGACCTTGGGCTTATTAGACCCACGCTC